TTTCCTGGAGATTAGCTGGCAATTTTTCTGCACCAACATCACATAGAGAAAATATGATAGGATTGTAAAATGTCAGAGGTCCTTATTATCAGCATTATAAACTTATATAAAGCAATTTTAATACAAACAATATTATAAACTTATATAAAGCGAGGAAGCAATATTATTTAACACATTACTACAGGGCATTAGCCGGTGATCCGAAGCACAGGTGGCAGAGCCTAACTCGGGTAGACTATATTTGAGGGTGCCCCTTGATTCTCGCGAAGTTGTGATCGCGGTTGATCGCCAAGCTGGGCGATGTTAAAACCCAATCGTGATTCTGATTGGTTAAGATTTTAGCGTTATTTTTAAATGTTCAATGGTATATGAAATTTCAGAGGTCCTTTAGTTCTACGTTGGATACCGCCTGGCAAGGTTACTTTTGCTTCTGGTCAATAAGATCGAAGATATGTGGGCAGCCATAAAAAGGGACTTTAGAAAAAAATATCATCACCAGTCCGGTACCACAGACGCCATTTTCGATTCGTATTTCGCCGAATTTATGTGGCGATGGAGGTAGTACACAGATTCTATTCATGATAAATTTAGACAGTATCTAACTGCTATTAGAGAATTCGGTGCACCTAAATCTGAGGATATTCAAACTTAACGAAGAAGTGAGTTGTTTTTTTCCTTTTCTTTCTAGGCTTACTCCATTAATTTTTGTTTCGATTCAAAATTCATTTTATTGGGTTTATTAATTTTGCTCATATCGGGTTCATTGCAATTTTATAAAGTTTCGGCCGATGTTTTGTTGCAATTTTCCAATGTTGTATTGAAATATCATTATATTTTGGCAGCCATTTTTGTTACCACGGTGTTCCGCGCAAACAAGAATGGTGCCAAACATAAGTCGCCAACTTCACCGAGTAGCACCCTCAAGTATATTTTTACCCCTAACTCAAATCATTGTTGATCTTATAGGACGTCGTACGCTCCCTATATGGTGTTTCATCCCCCTCCAGTAATTTAAACTTTTAACTGAAAACAATTAAAACCTAATGAAAAAAAACTTTAAAATCTGGCAAACAAATTAAAACATGTAATATTAATAAGTTGATGCTGAGTAATATTTCTTAAGCAAAAACCATTGCATGTAATTGCCCAATTAACTTCAGTACTGTCAACTGACAAAATGTTTTAGTTTCAATCAGACAAAAAGCAAATTATGTAATAAAATTATATGTAACTAATATTCGACAAATTAAATTAAGCAATTTTAATTTTTTTTTGTCATATTGAATATTAATAAAAAAACAAATGTAAAATTAAATAATTATGTTATCAATGATCAATAAACATTTTTGTCTGAATTGTTATAAAAAAATAAGGTAAAAACAATAAAATTAAAAGTTATTTGCAATAGATCTCTGAATACTCACAAAATCTAGCTATGTACATTTTTCATCATTTTGTGTACCAATGATTTGCACTTTTATGCATTATTTAAGAAATATCTCAAACAAATAGGAACTGTTAATTAATATTTCTGGCTGAACGATTTTTTGAAAGTAAGTAAAAAGCAATTAAAAGTAAGGAAAAACAATGATAAAATTAATAATTATTTACCAAACCTCCTTATATACAAGATTTTTTATCAATTTCTTTTCCATATTATTCGTTTTCATTTAAACGTCTTGACTCTTCAACGTTTCGTCGCCGCGCATTCCGCCGCCGCGTATTGATAGCACTACGATTACTTTCCAGGTTATTTTGTGCTGCTGAATTATGTTCAGCTTTATGTCGTTGGTGATATCGCCTAAGATATTCACGGTCATCCATTTTTTTTATAAAACATATAAGTATTTTAAAGTAGACTCTGTTCAATATATTTCACACATCCAATACAAAATAAAAATTCGCAACAAGATTTAGCTGGTAAGTTTAGTTGTAACACTTCTGCAGACGGCATTATTAAAAATTATTATTTTTTCACGCACATGCGTACTCAATTTTGATTGGCTGTTTTGTGCGTTACTAACCAGAAGTCTTCTGTGATTGGCTATGTGTTATCATACCACTCTCTTCTTATAAAGATATATATACACTGAAGAGCCAAAGAAACTGGTACAGGGATGAGCATGCAAATAAAGGGGTATGGAGCCAATCAAAGTACAGCGCTGCAATCGGTAACGCGTATATAAGACAACGAGTGTCTAGCACAGTTCTTAGATCGGTTACTGCTGCTACAATGCCAGGTTATACAGATTTAAGTGAGTTTAAACGTGGTGTTATAGTCGGCGCACGGCAGATGGGACATAGCATCTCCGAGATAGCAATGAAATATGGATTTTCACTTACGACCGTTTCACGAGTATACCGTGAGTATCGGAAATCCGGTAAAACATCAGATCTACGACATCTCTGCGGTCGTAAAAAGGATCATGCAAGAACGAGATCAACGACGATTGACGAGAATCATTAAACGTGACAGACGTGCAACCCTTCCACAAATTGCAGCAGATTTCAATGCTGGGCCATCAACGAGTGTCAGCGTGCGAACCATACAATGAAACATCATGATTATGGGCTTTCCATACGGGCTTCCCTACACGATATTAGGAAGGTATGCCAGTTTTTCTGGCTCTTCAGTGTATATATAAACTCATGTTTTTGAAAATTGCAACACCATGAAGGACTCACGCGAGTCAGCTGAAATTTTCAAGAAATGCAAAGTAGACCATAATATGCAAATGATTAGAATTTCAGACCCGTAGCGCATGCGTATGTTGAGCAGCGCCCTCTGAACGGCGGGTGGATCCGAATAAATAGACGGCTGAAGCGAGGCATTTATGGTTATCGATGGTTATCAGCTAGTGGCAAACGTTAGTTCAGACTTTACTTATGCCTCTTCGACGAAAGAGAGCGAGATTTTAACAACTTACGGAGTTTGAAAGAGAGAGAATCATCGGCCTTCGTGAAGCTGGATTGTCTTATCGTGCAGTAGCCGCTCGTGTGCAGCGTAACAGAAGCACAGTGATGCATGTTTGGAAGCAGTGGACGGACGAGTGTCAGACAACTCGGAAATCCGGGAGTGGACCCCGAAATGTCACGTCAGCTCGCGATGATAGACACCTGGTCCGCATGGTGCTAACAGACCGTACGGCTCCCTCTAGACAACTGGCAGAACAGTGGTCAATAGCTACAGGTGTTTCATTGTGTGCTTCATCAATTCGTAGACGTCAACAGCAGCGTGGACTGCGCGCAAGGACTCCTTTATACAGGATCACCATCACGGTAAACCATAGCCGCCTGCGGCTACAATGGGCCAATCAGCAAAGGAACTGGCGTGCTGATTGGCAGCGTGTCGTGTTTTCTGACGAATCCCGCTTTAATTTGTGGTACCATGATGGCCGCATTCGTGTCCGACGCTATGCCGGTGAACGCCACCTTCTGGAGTGCATTATCGAAAGCCACAGTGGACGAACACGCGGAGTTATGGTCTGGGGTGCCATAGCATATCATGGACGATCTTAATTGCTACGAATTGTGGGTAATCTGAAAAACAACCGGTACATCAGGGAAGTTTTACAGCCCCAAGCTGTTCCCTTCCTTCAAGCCTTGCCAGGCGCTGTATTTCAACAAGACAATACCCGTCCTCATATTACTAGGATTGTTCAATCCTTCCTTGCATTGCGACAGGTACAGCTTCTTCCTTGGCCTGCGTATTCCCCTGATATGTCACCGATTGAACATGTGTGTCATTTCGTTGGTCGGTGCCTTACTCGTGATCCTCGTCCTGTTGCTTCTACGAACGAACTTTGGGTACACATGCAAGCTATATGGAATGCTCTTACTCAGACAGGCATTCAAAATTTGCTTGACTCCATGCCACGTCGTGTAGCAGAGCTTTTTGCGGTGCGTGGTGGCTACACAACATACTGATTTCGATATCTTGTTATTGTTTGTTTGCTTTGAAAGTTTAATCATTTATTTGTACCACTACCACTCAACTGTGTAGTGAATTTCATTCAATTATGACGATTCCTTCATGGTGTTGAATTTCACAAACAGGATTTTTTATATATAATGTTCAATGGTATATGAAATTTCANACTACCCTACAATTACGGAAGAGACACTTTTTGAATTTTAAATTTCTCATGAAACACGTAGAGAATTATTTTGTAACTTTAGAGATTTTTAGTTTCAGATTATTAGAGATTATTAGTTTAAAACTTTCAGAGGTTTCAGAGACCGACAATAAATTACGAAAGAAAACATGTATTTTTGAACACTCTATACTATATATATATATATATATATATATATATAAATTTCCCAGCTCTTGTACCTTTTTAAGAGATGTAAAATACTTATTATCACAGCGTTTATAGTAGGTACCATGGTACGAATAGTAATATTTGTGGTACCTTATTTAAACAGCACCAATTACTATTACATCAATAGTGCTTTTAGTGACGTTGTTACACTCTTAGAATACCCAAGGGTCATTATTTTACAAATTTTGCAAAGCAAAGTTTGGGTGTTTCAAAAAGTATGTGTAGAATTATAGGTGTTACAAAAAATATTCAAATAACATTTTTCTAATTAAAACTCGAAATTCCACATTTCTCACAATCTAGCGTCATTTTATTTTCCGATTTTGTTAAATATTTTAGAGTATTTTGATTCTGAAAATGTAGCTAACTACTTTGCACCAAAATTAGTTAAGTGAAACAACACAAGATAATTCCTTGGTGTCAGATATAGTGAGACACCAGGAATTCACCGTTTCTAAACTTTAGGTCAAAAATAGTTGGGTCAACATGTCGATATAGCTGGAAATGAGATTGCTGACTGTTTGGCCAAAGCAGGTGCTGAAGAGGCCATTACGACTCTCGCTCCTCTTACTTACTTGGAGCATTTTTCTAATTGTAAGGCAAAGAATACGGCCATTTGGAATGTCCCGCCGAAACACTCATGGTATCAGAGTAGGTGCCCAGGCGGCTCCTTGGCTCGGGGCAGCAGTAGACGAGAACAAACTGCCATTACTAGTTTCCTCAGTGGACAGCTGTCAAATATGACTTATATCGATGGTAACAAACATTTCGAATTCTGCACTAAGTATTCTGCTGCCCAGGCCTCCCCTGACCACATTTTATCTTGTCTGGGACTTACCAGGCAGGACTTGGTTCAAGTCCCCCTGTTGGTGCTGGATTTTCTTAGAGTGAACGAGCTTATGGACCTGATCTAGCTCTGCTGGTCATGGGGATGAGAACAACAACAATATTGAAATCACCACCAAGCAAGTAATTATACGTTAATAATAAAAAAGAATATGAAAATGCTTTAAATTATTATTATGTAAATGCATGAAAAATGCCTGCTGATGAAAATAAAAAACAATGACCACTCATACGCACTGTTTACTATTGCTCTTGAACGCTGTTGAAAAGTGTGTGGAAGTCATCAAATCCAAACCAAGACCCATCTTTCCGATGGGTTAGAATCAATAAATCGGTAATGATTAGCATAGCAAAATCATGCACAAAATTAAAAACATATCCGATCATTGAGAATAGTTCTATTACTCGAAACCAACTCCTGATAGTTAAAAAAAAATACCGTAATCAACAATTTTCTCCTCAATGCTGAAGCTTTAGAGATAGCGAAATTTCTTCTTGAAGATGTTCTGTAAAAGCATGCTTCTCCAGGAATCCTAATCTCAAACTGTGGAGCTGTATTTCTTTCGAAAGTGGTAGAAGAATTACTGAAATTCTAATGTTAAATATCTTACTACCACAGCCTACCATCCTCAGACAAACGGTCTAACAGAAATATTTAACAATACGATTTTCGTTATTTTTTAACCGTCGTTGAACAGCAAGACCGAATTTTTGGGTTTACGACTACTAATGTTGAACTTCGTAGCTGCGGAGTACTTTTTTAATGGAACTAACCAGCATTTGCGTTCCATGGAGAGGAAGACCACGACAACCTCCTACGGTCAGCCTGATGGCAAATTGACTCTAACGCATGATCCGTCTACCACTGAGGATATTTTAAATCAGCACTGTGGATGGTGCAAGCCGGGTGTGGAATTTGCATCGATCACCCATCACTGGGATTCGAACCCGGCTCACCTCATTGCAAGGCGAATAACTTAACAATAGGTAGCCTGATATGTTATTGGTGGTGTTGTGTTATATGTTATGTGTTGATCAAAAAGACTGGGATATTATTTTACCTTTCGTCACCTTCCCCTATATCACCGCCAAACAAGAAACTACTGGTTTTTTGCCACTTTATCTTCTCCATGGTTATGAGGTCGAAACTACTTTAAACACTATGTTTTTTTCTTCAACTTGGGTTTAAAACTAATGAATCCTATCAACTTCCCTGTAAAGCCGAAGAAGCTAAGTAACTTGGTCGTCTGCGTACACTCAATACACAAGATCAGACGCAATGCAAATCACCGACTGGACTCTTATACACCAAGAGAACTTGTTTGGATTTTTATACCTGCTCCAAAGGTCAGATTGTCTCAAAAATTATTAAAAATATTTTGGATCTTATACTCGTAGTATAAAAAGAGCATTTTCTAAGGTTAAACTATGGACACCGTGAGCGTGGTGAGAATGAAACTATACTAAAATCCATCCTGACAATTAGAATAACTTGAAAACGAAAATTTGCCTTTAACACCAAATAAAACCAGAGTAAGATAGCATATCAAGGTCCTACTACCATATCCTGTTCCAGAGATCAAATAAAGTGAGACATTGAGGCCACAGTTTTTTTTCTAAGGACGATGTTGTGACCTGTGTCCGAGTAGCCGAGCGGTGAAAGTCATTACCCTGGCGAATCACAGGTTCAGAGTTCTATCCTTATGGAAGAAAATGTAAATATATATATACATATGTTGTTTAAGATTTTATTAATTATTTGAAGGTCCTCTAGAAATGTCTAGAAGCTTCTGTTACATCATTTCCTGTTCCTTATTTAGTTGTATATAAGTTCTTGTGTTTCAAAAGAAACGCAGTTACTCTGTTCTATATATGTCAGGTGCGTTCAATAAATCTATAACATTAGTCATCTGGATTCTGTTTTTATCTACGAGAAATTGCATCTAAAAAATTAAAATATTATTAATAAGAAAAAGTTAAAACTACAACAATAATACACTGTCATCAGTAATGCATCTAAATTACGTGGCGAATTTCGAATTATTGAAAAATTCACATCTGAAAGATGAAAGTAGTTTATTTTTATTTTATTAATTTAGGTTTTGAAATATTGTATTCGTTTAAAATCTGAATTGTAAGACAATATTTTTTAAAATTATTTTTAAGCATTTCTGAAACACGAAACTAAAGGGCTTCTGAATAAATTAAATTCGAAATTCTTATATGTAAGTTTGTTCTTTTTCGGTAACTATTTCGCCTAGTTTTCTGAAATTTGGAATTTTGTTTTTTAGTTACATTGTCAAAAAAATATGCGGAATCGAATTCCGGTAGCGAATTTCGAATTATTTAAAAATTCACTTCTGAAAGGTAAAAATATTAAAAAAAATTTCTTTTTAATTAATTTAGATACTGAAATATTGTATTCTTTTAAAATCTGAATTGCAAAACAATATTTTTTTCATTATTCTATTTTCATTATGGAACACGAAACTAAAAGGTTTCGGAATAAATTAAATTTGAAATTCTTATATGTAAGATTGTTCTTTTTCGGTAACTATTTCACCCAGTTTTCTGAAATTAGGAATTTTGTTTTTTAGTTGCATTGTCAAAAAAATATGAAATAGTCAGGTGAATCCACTGTTTGCTGATGATCCCCGAAGAATACTATGCTATTTTATATGATTTGCTTTGAATAAACCATGCTCGCTTCACTCGCTACTATGTTAAACCCTTTAGAAATGTGTTCCAGAGTAAAATTTCAAGAATTTAAATAAATTATTATAAATTTTAATACAAGTTCCACTTTAAAAATTAAAATTTTTATTATATAATAAGTTATTGAAATCAAAAGAATTAAATTAAAATTGTTTCATTGTCTTTGTGTCTAAGTTTCGAAGTTAAAATATTGTATATTGTAAATAAATGATGTATAGTGCTCCAAAATAATTGACTACCCTTAATAACTTTTGACCTTCACGTTCTAGGAGTCAATCTTAATGGCTCAAAGAGGTGACCTCAATTATGCTAATTAATTAGCACGGAGGATATTTTAAGCTAGAAAAGCACACCTTAAAATGTACGGATTCGTATTTTTAACTCACAAAATAATTAGTCGCAATTTGGGAAATAGATTCCTAGTAGTTTAGTCAAGAGAGCAGACCAAAGTATGGACCGCTTAATGTTAATTTTACTTTTTGAGTATTTCACTATAGCTCGAGATTTTTTTAAGCGATGAAAAATGTTTGCACACAATTATTAAAATTTTTTATCCCAAGATAATCCTATGCAAAAAATAACTATCAGTTATGTAAAAAACTACTAACTGTTAACTAATGTTAAAAAAGCCAG